GAATGTAATTAACTTAAAGCGGATTTCATGAGAATATGAGTACATACAAGTTTTATCACGTTTCTCTATTGATGCTACACGTATGAGAATTAAAAAATGCACTTCCCAACCTGACACAACTTGTGCGCAACATAAAATAGGTGTAACCTGTCACCATTTCATCTCAAATAACAAAGCGGAAATGCTGCAAAGAGTAAAGGTAATCAGGCTCAGAGAAACTGTTCGCGAACTTTCTGAAATTCGGTCCTTGTATATATTTAAGAAAAATAGAATTTGGGGAGAGGGGACAACCTTCTCGACAGCGCCCGAATTTTTTTTTTCTGGCTGGGAAAGCAAAGGACGACGTGTGATATAGACGTTCACCTCTTTCTTGAAAGCCACCAGTTGCATTTATGTTTAATTGTTTTGTGCCATTTAGGGAATTTCAATGAAATTTGCTTAATACTTTTCCGATTCACAAGCTTATTTGTTCATTTCGTGTTGTGAAACATAAGTCATTACAGAATCATCTTAATGCACCGACCAGGAAGTAGTGAATTCAGAACAGGGTGATATTATTAGTAAGAAAGCAATCAAAGACTTATTCTGTCAGCTAGCATCAGAAAATTGATCAAGTTGACAAGATATGTCTGCAAATGCATTTGAACAATTTGAACAAACACCTGATAAAGTCACGTACAAGTGCCAGCTTTTTGAATGTTTTGGAGAGAAGGTAAGAAGCTTTGAACAATGTTAGTTTACAGATATGCTATAACGCCTAGAACTCAATGACCACAATCGCTAGGTCAACAATTGTCAAAGTCTACCTTCAATCACGAAGAGTTATTAAGATTTCCTACTTCAATTTAGGAGAGATTGTCACAACAGCCGAAATTTTGCCATAATTTCCAAGCTACCATAGATAATTAATCTATTCTAAAATCGAGAACGTCAGATATCTAAATTAGCTTGCTTGAATTGTAAAACTCACGGTCTGATATCGGAAAGTTATCAGACGACCATAAAAAAATAGTTTCGGAGATCTAAAGACTCTCTAAATCGTCAGCTACACGAGGTTCGGAAGAAGCTGTCAACAGTGGATCAAGATAGAAATATTCGGAGAATACTGGAAAATCTGGAAAAAATTCTGGGATCCTTCAAAAATATGGATGAAGATTTGGATGATTCATAAGTCAAATTGGCAATCAAAGAAAAACTAATTGTGAATTCTCCTTGAAATTTATAATCGCAAATTAAAAGCGGAAATGGAAGAAAGTAAATTCACCCTTTGAAGTAACAGAAACAAATTTCTTCGAACAAGTAAAGCGGAAGAAAGCACAAAATTTAGACAAAATGTCAGTGAAATTATCTGCTTTAATGACAGTTGCAAAAGGTAGCGAATCGAAGAACGATAAAGGGCTTAAGGCATATGGCTTAAGGCATTGTCAGAGGGTAGCATTGGACAGGTAATGTTTATAATGCGCTACTTGAGGAAGCAGCCTGAAAAAGATTGAGAAATTGTAGCTCTGTTTTAAGTGTCACCAAAGGGTCATCAAGCAAACTCCTGCCGAAAGAAATTGCGATTTAACTTGGAAGGTAAGAAGGAGCACGATACCGTTTACTTTATGTTTAAGGTCAGATGGGAAATAAATATATTCAAATAGTTGCTGTTAAGGAGAAATCGCGAGAGTCATGCAATAATTCCGTAATAATAATCAACATTTCAAAAGAGAAGAAAGAATCAACTATTCAAGCAACAGAAGTTGATGAGTAGGGAGGTCACGATAGGACTTGGAAAGCCATGTGGCTACTTGACCTCAAGAGTCAAAATCATTCGTAATAAAAAAATCCAAGCAGAAAGTTTCATTAATAGGTGGACAGCTGAGAAATTTATGGTCGTTGGATTTGGAACCAAATAGTTAAAATAGTAAAAACTAAACTTTCAAAGACCAGAAAACTGTTACGAGAAATGATTAGAAATTTATTCATGAGAAAAACATAATAATGCAAATCTGTCGGAATGAACCTGAAATTTTAATGTCAATTAGCTATATCATTCAGTTTTTGTAGTTATACATAACTTTCCATTTACGCAGTGATTTCAACTGTTGAGTACTATCACAGGATTTATGATAACCGGTAAGTATTGCAAACAAATCAACAACAATCACTTCGATGTTATGAACAGAAATGGCTGAGAAGTTGATCAATTGTGAGCCTTATAAAGCGTTTAAAAAATGTGAATAAAAAATAAAGAAGGTCCATACTGTATGTGCTAACCTTGCAAAACAGCTATCCTATATCCTTGAACTGTTGAGCTATAAATTCTTTGTATCTTTCCCACACTTACACATGAGATAAAAAACGTATGAAACTGAAGACGAAGAACGAAATGCTTGGAATCTAAAAAATTAGAGCATATCAAAAACCTTTTCGGTAAAATATGGAAAAAGACCAAAGACAAAAATAGATTGGTTTTCTTTGGTGACAATAATAAGAATTGAAAAATAATGAGGATTGAAGCAATTAAAAATTAGTTGCTAATTTCTCTATGTGCTAATACAGATTCGGATTAGATTGGTTTTTATCCATATTTATCAGAAACAGGGAGTAATCCAATATAAAAGATTCAACTGATGGATTGAAAAGTGCTGGTCACAGAATATTTCCAACGTATCTCCATGCTAGCACAAATCGTTCAAGACGATCAAATCAAATAACTTCCACCGCTATTTATTACTATTTGAAATTCAGATTCTTTTCTTCCATATTGTTTAAGTTGCTGTGTTGTACCAAAATTTATTAGACTCCATGTAGTTGTTATATAGGCACAAGCAGATTGTTTTAAAATCTTTGGTAAACGACTCAGGCAGTTTGGTGATGATAGTAAAACGCCTTTTTTTATGTAAATAATGATAATAAAAGCCATAACCATTGACTCTAACCCAAAATATTCATTTCAGATTGATTTCGCTCTTGAAATGTGAATGAAGTGCTTTTGGAGTGTGACCAATTAATGATATTGGCGTTAATGACACATTCAGCTGTTCTTTGATATTTAATTTTGGTAAAATTCGCTTAATATTGTTTCCGATTTATGAAATTTGTTTGGAAGCCATAACTTATTTTGAGGTGACACACACTGCGATAAGAGGAAACTCAATTTACTTCTTGCTACACAATGCAAATACCTTTTGAAACATAGAAACTTCGATAAGAATACATGCATCATAACACCCAAAATATCATTCAATACGCATCGTTCACCATTGCGTAAACTTTCTTGCAAATATCACTATTTATGAAAATCAAAGCGTATTACACTTGACAGATACAACTCTTTTATGGAGGGATCAGTTTTATCCTCTATGTGATTGCCATTTATCACGGCTAACTTCTTTCCTCAGCTATATTATTAGTCACGTCCACCCACCATTTGCATCACAAAGATATTAAAGTTTTGTTGCAACTCATTTAGTCGATAATACATTCATAATCCCTTTACCGTATTTCATGTAGGGTTGGCTCATATTTATTTCTTGGCGCTATACGCCAGTTTTTAAGTAGAAGTATTTAAACGAAGGGTTTCACTTTTGCGGAGTTACTTACATTGATTCAACGCATACGGTTTCTCTGTAAGCTGCAAACTCTTTATTTCACTCCACTTCCTGAATTATTATGTTTAAATAAACTCTGTGCCAGCATTTGCCAATCATTCAATTCATACCGTCTCAAATAAATCACTTTTCGTCCTTTCCATCAACATCTCGATCTTCTGGTTACGTAGCTCCTACACGCAACTGAATGAGTCAATTGTAATTTCACCACTTCGCTGCTAAGGAAACGCACTGATCCGACATAAACGATATATGAACAAATGATTTAATTCTAAGCATTCAAGGACTAATGCTGAAGTTTAGCAATTATTTGTTTAATTTTATGAATGGATAATAATTTCATGACAATCCCAACAATCAGAAAGAAGTACCTCACGAGACAAAGGACTTACTGAAATCGAAATTATTTGATAACTTAAGTCCATTTTTCAATGCCATATTAAGTCAAAAATAATGTATCCCTACCTTGTGTCCACACACAGAATAACCAGTTCCTGATGCGTGAAAATTTTATGCGACTATTGAAATAAAGATCCAAAGACATATCACTTAGAAACTTAATGCTCAGCACGTGTAAAATGTGGGATGGACCGAATCAAATAAAAGTACAGGCTGCACACTAGCAAACTGCTATCAGAGTTGTATTTTTATAGCTTAATTAATATCGAGCTTCATTCTTCAAAACTCCCTGCGGGAAAACTAAAAAAATGTTAAGTCTCGAGAATGGTTTTTAGTATCTTGCCGTGGTTCTGACTTAAATTTGGATAACATGTAATAAAATTGTCCTTTACATGCTATTATTGAAACAAACAACAAATCTACGCAATGAATGAATATGGAAATCAAAAAAAAGTCAAAGAGAAGATACGTCTATTGTCCCGTTTGTGTCTTGAAATTCTTTCCAGTTTGTTGCCAAATTGTCAATTTTCATTAGACTCAACAAAATAAAGCAATTCCCACTCGCTGGTTCCATTATCTACAAGAGTTAATAAAATCAAATTTTAAAATAGACATTTTACATTTCCAATTTTGTGAAATAAAGTAGTTCGGCATAGCGCCAATGAATCGCAGTAGTTCTTTTCTAGCTCTTTTTTATTCAAATGACTTAACAATATTAGCAAGCTACCAAGGGAGAAATCCCTAAATTTAATGAACTTTTCAACATCAATATTGCGCTACTTTGATGAGAAAACCTGTAACAAGCGCCGTGTTCAGCAATACAAGAAATGAAAATAAAATCTGGAAATATCTTTATAAAAGCTTATTCCAATTTTTGAAATAATACGAACAAGACCAATCAGGGTTTACAAGCTTATGCAGCGACGATCCAGCAATGCATTTTGAACGAATTAAGCAAAATACATAGAAGATATATTATCCAGTCATTGATACACATAAAAACAACCTCAAATTCCGCCGAATTAGGATTCACATTGCTTGGAAATTTCCGAATGGAACACGTATAAGTATCTACACGGTTCGTATTGCCTTTTTTCCGTTTTTCTCGCCGTTCACTTTGTACATCAATGGAAAAGTGTAGTGATGAACTTGTTAAATTGAACATAGTAAACGTAGCATTTGAACACATTTTCGAAGGATCAGATGGTTTCTTGAAGGCGCTTACAAGTGATGCAAAAAAACTGCGTCGCTTCCGTAGGCCACCCACTCTGAACAAATAAAATACAAGTACAATTTTATTTAAATAACAAAAATCTCACCTTATAAGCGATGGCTGCCCAATGACCTAAGTCACTACATGTGCAGTGACCGCCAGAAACTCAGAAATGTATTATTCTTTACCAAGCGACTAACGTTACAAGTAAATGATTATATTAAAAAAATCTTAAAATTTTTATAAAAAATCAGTGGCCTTGCACAAACTATTGCGAAATTGACCAGAAACACATTCAAAAAGCACAAACCAGGAAAGATGAGTTTCACATATGTGTATAAGCAAACATGCTGAGGTCATTAAGAGCGAACCTGAGAATGAGGTCAACTTTGGTACCGGTGTCACGCGAGACTGAAACGCCAGCACTATGCACGCCTACGTTAGATATTTCCGATTCTTCACTTTCCGACATTTATCATCCTCTGAAAATAAAAGCTCCCATATCTTGTCCCAACCTTTTTTTTAAGAAATCACGAATTTTCTATTAATATAAAAGTCTCACATTTCAGCCACTTGGAAAGTAAAATATAGCAGAAGTGATTATCTATGAACTTGGAAATCTCCCTCTAACATTCTTTACTTTATGCCTGAATTACGATCAAAATTAAATCTGTAATATTGTGACACACTAATTTTGAAGATGCTAGATTTATTGTGATTAAACAGCTTGAAAAATAAAAACCAAAATATAAAATTTGCCATATATCGAATCTCTGAAATTCACTTTAATTTGTCCGATTATAAATAATAGATTTTACAACTGGTAAAATTGAGAGACAAGACTGACCAAACTGCACCACAGTCGAGCAACACAATTATCGATTCAACTATCTGCAAATAGCAGCAGCTAATCCAACAAGCCCATGACAATGAATAGTGAATTTGTCGTTATCAATGTCCAATATGTGAAATAAAATCTGAATTAACTGAACACTTGGCAATACCTGAAAAAGGATGGTGCATGTATACAATCTGATAGAGAAAAATAGAAAAGTGAGACACCCACTGCAATGTTAATAAACAGGAAAAGAAGTTAAGAAAAGGAAGGTTAAAGGAATTAATAAAATAACTTAGCCATCTCAAGTAAATTGAACGAGCGAAGATATTATAATAATCATGGATTGCAGAAAATAGAAATACATGAATTATTAACAAACAGAAAGAACATTCTTCAATGTAAATTGTGTGTAATTAAGATATAGAATATTGAAAGAATTCTTCAAAACTGACAACACTACCGCATCCATCATCGTTCCTACTGCATTTTCTACGATGTTCAGGAAGTGGTGAGTGAATAAAGGTAAAAAGTTGATTTCACATCCTACATTTACATAAACTCATCGAGAAAACATCTATTCCTGAATTCAGATGAAGCAGACGTTTCTTACAATCATTCTTCCCAAAGTCGAAATTGGAAACCAGGTGACAAAGATGTTCGATTTATTTGCCGAAATTAAAGACCACTTATCAACAATTTACGAGAAAACTTGGAGCGCTTTTTGTAACTTCCCGGATTTCTCAGCTCTTAGCATATATACGACCTCTACTTTTTTTGCTACAGGTTTATCAAAGCCTTGTTTGGGAAAATTTGTGAATACACTTTTGGTCGCATTCGGGAAGACAGTATTCGTAAGATGCAAAAGAAAAGGAAAGCTTCTGCAGTGAACAAGAATGAAAAAACAGAATCACTAAAGCAGCAATTCACTCAATTAAATGACATGCAAATTTCAAGACAAACTTGCTTAACAAATAAAATCGGTCAATTTTGCTCGTATGCTTTCCAGACTTTATTTATATCAACTAAACAAAATAAACGGAAGCATCTAAATGATTTAACAATATTTTTCTCGGATCCATCTTTTTTATTCGATTAATTATGAATGAGCGTCTACATTAGGCGTAGTAAAAAATGAGAACAAAATCACTAAATAAATGAAGTGCATTGAACAAGTGAACTTTTCATCATGAAAATATTCATTTCTAATGCTTTAAGCGGAGAAGCAAACTTGCACTGATATCACACATTGGTTAAATGAAGCAATATGGTCATATTTGAGTAATCCGTCATAAAATCCGGAACAGAGCAACCGTTATCACTGTACTAATACGGTTAGAAAATGCAGGTCGACCATTCTGCTGACACCAACATTTCCGCGCGATCAGCCAGCACTCTAACACTATGGCACACAACGAGGATCGATTTTTGGGGCAGATTGTTGGAGTGGGGGTGGGACGATAGGACGAGGACATTGTCGCCTTTCTTCCTTCCCACAATTCATCTATCTGTCGCCAACTCAACCACTTTAAAACATCAATATACCGAGTACCGAGGAAGGCATGTAAGAAGGGAATTGAAGAGGAGCACAGTGTAATATGATAGGTAAATTTGCTATGAGAAGATATTCGGTGGTCTTATTAGCTGCGTGATTTACGTCACGTCATAACCAAAAGCGTCCTGGCAGAAATTGGAATGACCGCCTCAAATTGTTTCAAGACAAACTTGCTTAACAAATAAAATCGGTCAATTTTGCTCGTATGCTTTCCAGACTTTATTTATATCAACTAAACAAAATAAACGGAAGCATCTAAATGATTTAACAATATTTTTCTCGGATCCATCTTTTTTATTCGATTAATTATGAATGAGCGTCTACATTAGGCGTGGCATGCTTTAACTGATCTATCCTGATCTCTGACATTATCATTCGTCGACGACATGTCTAGTTATTTTATACAATTTAAAACCAATAAGTAATACTTGAAGAGCCGCAGATGACAAATATTTATAAGGTGAACAGCCATATGGTCGTTCGTCTAGGGGACAATGCAGAAAGAACGAATGTACATTTTTGCAACTTTATCCTGCCCTTTCAGCCATTAATTTCCATCAAAAAGCTTCGGTCATTACTCACGTCAATGACCATATTGAATGATGGACTTTCTGGACATTCGATGTCAAGCGAAGTAATAAGTCAGGAAATTTTAAGTAAGTAGCGCAAAATGCAATTGGAAGAAGAACAATGCAGCGGGTTACAACGTGGAAGAGACGACGTCTGGAGGGAACATTCTTTGTCGAAGAACTCGAAGATTGAAGAAAAAACTGACCGCAAGCTGACCTGTAGAAAGGAAATCAGTGAGTTCGAAGGAAATGAAATGACGGAGAAAGAATGTGAAGGCGTGAGGGCTCTTTAAAATTCAATTAATATATCGCGAAAGTCGCGAAATTTCAAGAATATTATAACTGG